GGAAGGAAGGAAGGAAGGAAGGAAGGAAGGAAGGAAGGAAGGAAGGAAGGAAGGAAGGAAGGAAGGAAGGAATTCAGATGGAGTCTGAGGTACCTGCACACACATGCACATATGCACACATCTATACACAAGAAGCAGCAGGGGCAACTCAAGAGCTGAGAGGAAGTGCTAAACTCTAAACTGCCATCTCAGACTCAACAGACTTGCTAAGCAGAGCACTGAAAATGCCCTTGGTATCAAGCCATAATGACCTTCCTTCAAAGCATGCATGTTGCAGATCCACCCTTGGTTCTTGGGGCCAGAGCCCAGGACCACAGTTTCCTTTTACAGAAAGGTTGTTCCCAGTCAGTCAAACAAACAGAGCTGGCAAATGAGGTCCCCTGTACCCCTGGAACCGCCTTAGGGTGAGAAGCAGTCTAGGAACCAGCAGGAAGGAAGGGATTGTAAAGGGAATTTTTGACCTTAAAGCTTGAAAAAATGTCCCCCATTCACAAAACCCTGTTGTTCTTTCCCCAGGGAAATCCCACCAAACAGAAATGTCTAAGGCTGAGCAGGGGGAGACAAATCCTCATACCTTAAACTGATGGAGTCCTGGTTGTCTTTGACCCAGGAATTTTCTCTGGTCCTGCAAGTGGGAGTGGGAAGAGTCTACTCATGATCTAAGTGTCCAGACAGAGAACTTACACTTCTTTCTAGTATCTTGGGCTCTGAGTTGCAATGTTGCAGGTTCAGGCCACCCCACTCCACCCCAGTTTGATCCTCTGCAGTCTCTCAGAAGGCCCCTTCTATCCATCTGTAAGCAGAGTCAGTGAGATTCGACTGCAGATGCAGAGAATCATTGAAATACAGGGGTTTATGACCCTCATACCTGGTGATGTGAATATAAAAGGCACTGGGTGGAAAAGCCAGAGAGCCTTGGCATGGGTCTGGCTTCCTAGCTAGTCCATATCTGGTTTCTTACTTCTGGGTTCCTGTTTGTCCCTCTCCAAAGTGAAACATTCAGTTGAAGGCACTGTGAACTCCTTTCGACTCATATGGGGACTACAATCCCTTAGCAGAGGCTGTCTAGAGGGCTGTGTTGAGTCGATTCTGATGTGGGATCAGTTAGCAAAGACGAAAGGGCAGGTACCCTAACCTCCCGCATACTGCCACTCTTGGCCTTGCTGTCCGAAGTCCTCTTGGTCTTAGCCCTCGTGTGATTTTATGATTCCTCGTGCCTTTGCTCTTTTATTTGCCTTCTTGGAGTGACAGTGGTCTACAGATAATTAAGAGTAGGACTGTGCCATGTAAGTCACAGACTGCCAGGATAGAGGAGGCGAGGTACCCTAGATATCAGAAATTAGCATGAAAAGCCAGTCAACACAGAGCTAAATCTCACAGGTCATGAAGCAGCTAACATGGATGAGCCAGTCATCAGGTTGTTCACTATGAGACAAATGCATGCTATTGCCTCCATCCACCTAGACAGATCATGGAGGACTGAGAAAGTAAACTCCACCTTTAAAAATCAAAAATGAAGGCTGGGAGCTTCTTAAGCCAATAAGGTCCTTGCATAATCATGAGGACCTCATTAGATCCTTAAAACCCAATGTCTGTCA